ACAGCCTGGCTAACACGAGGGCCCTGATGCTCCTGCAACAAATGAGGAGAATCTCCCCCTTCTCCTGCCTGAAGGACAGAAATGACTTTGGATTCCCCCCAGGAGGCGTTTGGAGGCAACCAGTTCCAGAAGGCTCAAGCCATCGCTGTCGTCCATGAGATGATCCAGCAGACCTTCCAGCTCTTCAGCACAGAGGGCTCGGCTGCCGCTTGGGATGAGACCCTCCTGGACAAGTTCTGCACTGCACTTTATCAGCAGCTCACTGAACTGCAAGCCTGTCTGATGCAGGAGGCGGGGCTGGAAGGGACTCCCCTGCTGAAGGAGGACTCCATCCTGGCTGTGAGGAAATACTTCCACAGAATCACTGTCTATCTGCAAGAGAACAAATACAGCCCTTGTGCCTGGGAGACTGTCAGAGCAGAAGTCATGAGATCCTTCTCTTCATCAACAAACTTGCAAGAAAGACTCAGGAGGAAGGAATGACACACACCTGGTTCAACATGGAAATGATTCTCACTAACGAGACCACACTTCCACCTGTGTTGCCGTGTCAAAGACTCTCATTTCTGCTCTCCTCATGTCCTGAATTGAATTAATTTGTCAAGTGTTTTCAGGAATATTAAGCAACACGATGTTCTACTCTACAGGCACTCGTCCCTCACAGATGCCCATGCTGATCTATCTACTTACTTATCTACTTAAACATTTATTTATCTATTTTAATATTTATTTCACTATTTATAGAGATTTAAGTTATTTTTATTTACATAATATTATGTGCATGTATACATTGTGGTTAAGAGAAAAAATATATACTTTGTATTAACTCAGTTTATGAGTTTTCTTTGTTCATTAAATTCTTACTAGAGAAAACTTCATTTGTTTATTCTTTAAAAAAGAAACACCAAGCCTGAATGTGCAAAATGATTAAAGAATGTGTTACAATTCCTTGACCATCATTACGATTCTCACATTAGAAATAAAAATAGACTAACTCTAGCCAGGTTTTGTGTTGCCCTCAGGACACAGACATGAACATAACTAATCCAATCTTGCTTTTTATAACTTTGATTTTTTTTTAAGGAGAGTAACCTAAAAACAATAATTAATTCATAATTCAATTAAATTTTATTACTTATTTTAAAAATAGTTCTGATTTGTAGTAGAAATGAATATCAGTTAGGTTGAACGCTACAATGAGAGGGAGAAAAATGGAATTCCCCCAGCAGAAGGTGGATCATGTCATGCGAGGATACAGAAATTAAAGCAGTAGATATTACCTATAGTTAACTAGTAGACATTTCAGTGCAAATGTCCACTGGATACTGGAGATGGCAATTTACAAGCAATCCCATGAAGTGTAAAGCATGGAACTGAAGAAGTGATCAAATGCGAGGAGAGTACAGAATGGGAAAAGGACTTAAAATTGAGTCCTATGAGCTTAACCTTAAAAGGGAGGGAACACCACAAAGGAAGCAGACATGGAATGGCCATATGTTAACAAGAGAGAATGGTGAGAAGACCGTGTTTGAAAAGACTGAAACTGCTTAGAAGACTCAATGCATTCATGAAATCATAGATGGAAAATGCTCCCTACATTGGGAAAAGAGATGGCATTGGCCACTTAGTGAGAGCTTGTTTGGTAGACTTAATCAGCAGAAGGTGAAGAGAAGGTGGAAGGATGAGTAAAAGAAGGTAATGACAATATACATAGAAAACAGGTTTGAGATATTTGCCATCTGAATTGGAGGAGAGAAAGGAGGTCCTATGCAAGGCTGGGACCTAGAGTAGAAGGTGGAACATTTTAGTCTCTGCATGGTTTTCCCTTTCTGAAACATTTTTGCCTCAGAAGAAATTTCATGGATTTGATATATTGTAACTCATAATCATATTTAATATTTTATTTACTTTAAAACGACATATTTAATTATTCACAAGGATAATTTATCATCATTTTGATTAACATTATATTGATTGTCAGTAAGCTGCTCTGTAGATTGAAATCATCCACTACATGGGAAACAGATGGCACTGACCTTAGTGAGAGCTGATTTGGTGGGATTAATCAGCAGAAACCATACTGGAGTAGGTGGAAGAGTGACAAGAGAAGAGAAGAACTCCCATTGTCATTGTTTTACCTGGGGAGTCACTTTACTTCTTTCACTCTCATCATAGTCAGGTTTGTATCTGTTTTCATTTTACTTCAGTGCATCAAATGCAATGACGCTTTCCAAGAAAGTTAAATGGAGAAGGAAATTAGTGATGTATTGAACATTATGGAAAATCATAATGTTTCCGTTTATGTTTCCGTTTTTACTTTCCTATTAAGCTACTAACCTCAAGTTGAAACAGGAAGTAATTCAGTAGTAGCAAGACAACCCTTGCCGAGAAAAATATGAACTGAAAAAGAAAGTATAGCATTACAAAGACTCTGACACCAGGAAAGCAAAGAAGGCTAACTTTATCTAGCATCCTATGCCCTACATTTTCACCACCCTACATCTTCATTGTGAGATGGAGAATGATGAACCAAGAGGCTCAGTAGAAATGTACTGAGTCATCTAATGATGGTTATTAATTACTTCAATATAAGGTTCTGATGCGAGGTCAGTAGAAGCTTCTGATGGGAGGTCTGATGGAAAATCTAATACTCTGTTAATAATTATTTGGAGTAACTGTTATGAACTCTGTGCTAATGATACAATGGTGAACAAGATGCAGACCTGTCTCCTGTAGTGGTTATTTGCCAAACAGGTCTAATAAATCTATTTTCAAGAAAACCAATCCTGGGCTGCCCTGCTGATGCAGTGGTTAAGAATCTGCCTGCCAATGCAGGGCACACGGTTCAAGCCCTGGTCCGGGAAGATCCCACATGCTGCGGAGCAACTAAGCCCGTATGCCACAACTACTGAGCCTGTGCTCTAGAGCCTGCGTGCCACAATTACTGAAGCCTGTGCACCTAGAGCCTGTTCTCCGCAACAAGAGAAGCCACCGCAATGAGAAGCCCGCGCACTGCAAAGAAGAGTAGCCCCCGCTCGCCGCAACTAAAGAAAGCCCATGCGCAGCAACGAAGACCCAAGGCAACCAAACATAAAGAAATAAATTAATTAATTAAAAAAAAAAAAAGAAGACAAATCCTGAAGGATAAGCCAGCTTGGCCGATATGGAAAATAAAGACGGTAGAAACAGAGTCCAGGACTAGAAGTAAACACAGCCAACCTCTTAGCAAGATAAATGTAAATACTCATCAAATGGTCAATTTACCTCAGTTCCTTTTATCCTGTACATCATGTTCAACTTTTAAAGAAACTTACCATACTAAAAGGTGAAAAACACAGTTTGATGAGACAGAGCAAGTATCAGAAACGGACTCAGATATAGTAGAAATTTAGGAATTATCAGACCAGGAGTTCAAAATAACAGTGATTAAAGTGCGAAAGGCTCTAATGTATTCACCTATTTTATTCTTCTACTTTATCTCAAGCTATGTATGGTACTTAAAATAGTTTTGCTTGTATAATATCACGTTCAACTTTATAATGTATTCAAATATAAAAAATATGCTTACCTTTATCTTTTTTCAAATTATTTTCTTGTTTAATTTATGAAAATCTTCCCCAGATGACAGCCTGGATTTATTCTTACAAAAAGAAATAGCCTAAATTCTCAAAGCATAGTGAAAAATGGATGATGAATTTTTTTTGCTGTGTTGGGTCTTCGTTGGTATGCACGGGCTTTCTCTAGTTATGGCGAGCGGGGGCTACCCTTCATTGTGGTGCACAGGCTTCTCATTGCAGTGGCTTCTCTTGTTGCGGAGCACAGGCTCTCGGCATGCAGGCTTCAGTAGCTGCAGCGAGTGGGCTCCGTAGTTGCGGTGCGCGGGTTCTAGGGTGCACAGGCTTCAGTAGTTGTGGCTCGCAGGCTCAGTATTTGTGCCTTGTGGGCTCTAGAACTCAGGTTCAGTAGCTGTGGCACACGGGCTTAGTTGCTCCACGGCATGTGGGATCTTCCTGGACCAGGGATCAAACCCGTGTCCCCTGCATTGGCAGGCAGATTCTTAACCACTGCGCCACCAGGGAAGTCCTGTATGATGAATTCTACTCATCATTCACTTGTTTCAGTAGGTTATATTTTACAACTTCATATTTCTATATCAGATATATAATAGTTCCGCGAATAAAGAGGTGAAAAAAGCAAATACCAAAGAGTTCTGTTTGGAAAAGAAAGAGATATAAAAACAGTAATCATGCTAAAATTATTTCAATTAAGTTTCCTGTTACAATGAGAGATAAAGGAACCGGGATTCTCTTACTAGCATCTGGAATGAGGCTTTTCAAGAAGGCAGATGTATTCTATAAAGTGCTGTACAAACATCTAAAGACAGATTTTCCATTGGTGGATGCATATGCAGATCTGGAATCTAAAACAACGTACATCATGGAGATATTAATTTGTGTTTGTTGCATATTTGAAAATCAAGATATGGTAAGGATGTCATTACTTATGACTAGGATGTAGAATGAGAAGAGGACCTAAAGCTTATGAGGACCTTCAACTTTTAAGACTGAGAAAGAGAAGGAGAGGCTGCCAAGGACACAGAGATGGAGTAGCCAGTGCAGTTAGGAGTCAGCCAGGGAACAACGATCTTCAGGAAACACTGAAGAAGGAAACCAAGGGTTTGAGAATTAAACAGGATGAAATTTAAATAATTATTTATATGTGAGATAGGATTCTGCATTGAATGTAGATTCTGCCAGGACATATGTGTGCTCCTGGAGAATCACGTAACTTCCCTGAGCCTCAGTTTCCTCAAATATAAAGTAAATGAAAATATTCCTAGAGTTGTTGTGGTATTAGACAAACTGGAACATTAAAGAGCCTTTAGCAGAATATCATCCACTGAGTGAAGGCTAACAGGTTTTTCATACAGATCTAAATGGGAATAATGAATTCTCCTCTCCCTCTCTCTGTCACTGACTGCAAAACACTGACAGCCTAAAAAACAGAACTGGGAAAAACTGTTTCATCAATTGTATGTAATTTTATGCATAATAATATAATAATACATATCTATGCTACATACTTATGAATATATAGTATAAGGTATACGATATATATAAAATTCTATATATCTATCTGCTGATTCTGATACATGGCATAACTCTCCTTCATCTCTGCTTTCCTGGATCCCATTTTTTCATTTTTCAAATACCATAATCATTTACTTCCTCCCAGTGTAGAAATCCAGTGTACTCTCCCCATTCACTCTGCATTAAGCTGTACTGCCCATTCATACAGCTGTTTCCTTCTCCATTAGGGTTTCTGGCTGTCAAATTCCCCTTAAGACTACAAAGCCACCAATGGAAAGCAGAAGCTGAGTGAAAGTTCTAGGTTTGTCAGAAACTCTCATATGACTCCATACTCTCTGCCTGCCAAGCACTGCAGGTCCAGACTGTCCAGGCTCCCAGAGAAACATAGTAAATAGATGGCACCCTGCCCAACACTGAACAATGGTGGAGAATCCAGGAGCTCACCTGTGCCTCTATTTGCACACTTCCAAGTGCTGACTGCACTAGGAGGAACTCACCTGGTTCAGGACTCTTATTTGCTCAAAAAGCCCAAAGCGCAGGAAACATGGAGTTGAAAGGCAGCAGCAGCTTGAGAACTTAGAAGGAGAACAGAGAGGTTTAAAGCGTTCACTGGAACAGCAGCAGGTCCTCAGGACATGGAAGAACACAGATGAGCTGCACTGAGGCAAGTGTTTCTCCAGAACATTCCTTTTCAGAGAAGAAAACATTGAGGTGCATGCGATAGCACAGAGCTCTCCCAGAAGGACATGGCCACTAGCAGTGTCCCCAGCACTGACACCACAGCAGCCTGAGGAGTCTTGGAAGGGACGAGGGTTACCTCAGTGCCAGCTGCAAACTGGTTTTGTCCTTAGGACCCAGCAAGTAATCACAGAGCAGGGAAGGATATTCCTGGGGACAATGCAATCCAAGGAATTTCTTACATTCCATCATGATGTCTTTGCCCCTTTGAAAGACAAACAAAATAAAACATGCTTGAATAGAAGGGACACAGGCAGGGATTTTAATATATTTAGCAACAACTGGGGCAGAGCCTTTCCAGCAGGGCATGTATCAGTAACATGCACACTGGAAGGTCACAATTTCTAAAAGCAACAAAGAGCGAAGTGGAAATTCATTTATTTAATTTAGGCACTTTGGAAAGGGGACACTGATGGATCAATCATCTTTCTGTTCTTTCCAGTTGGTGCATACAGCMCTGAGTAGGTACTTTTAAAGTCAGACGGACATTTAAAGTACATTTAGAGGTTTGGAAACCTTCCTAAGGATTAGGGTCCTAAAACAAGCAGAAACCATTCCTATATTACGGCTAAAAATATCATTTTATTAACAAATGATTTTTTAAATAATACTTTTTATTTCAATTCTTCAGTATTATGATGTTTTAATGGGCTGAGGCTAGAAATTTAAATAAAGACAACTATACAAGGCCATGARGGTGACTCTGGAGTTCAAGCCAGACTCTCCCTGCTAAGGAGCCCATTAAAAACCTTCACTGCTTCTGTCTAAGAAGCGCGTATGCTCTTCCGTCTTGGTCATACATAAGGCCTCTTCGGTACCCACATCTTAACCAATAGTTGGAACAATAAAGAGTAGAGATTCTTCCCTGGACTCTATCAGTAGACAAACGGATGTCCAGCCTGGACTGTAGGTGAGAAATGGAGGTGTCTTCATTAAGAATGAGAACAGGCTGACCTGAGGAGGTCTCCTGGGAAATCAGTGAGGTCCTTGTTGACTGAAAACAAACCACAACATGAGAGCTGAGAGTTCATTTTTTTGGGAGGACTTACTGAGGACTATAGCCTGGAGGACAGCCTTTCAGCTCTGACGAACTGCCCCAAGGACATAAGGGGGATGTCAGTATATACTGGTGATTTTGGTGAGGGAGGTACATGCAATCAAGGACACATCTTGGTAGAAGCTTGCTGCTAGTCATGAGGAACAGATGTCTCTGTTAATGATTTTAGGGCTTTTTACATACGGAGAACATGCAAGAAATTGCGTTTATTAAATTTTCTTGGGAAATTATTTAACGACCTACTGGCCTGTTCTGTCAGTTTTCCCAGAGCACAGCGTGCCTCGTTCTTAATCTCCACCCTGAACTCCTAACAGGGCATGCTGGGGTCAGGGACTACAGTGACTAGTGACTTCATTCTTGTAGAGCCGGATGGCGAGTGACTTTTTAGTTGTTATCCTGAAGAAGAAACGTCAGAGCTCATATGGATAGAGATCGTTAGGTGCTTTTACTTTGTTCTTAAACTCACAAGAAAACTCAAGAGTTAAAAATACATAGATTCCAGAAGTCTGCTGTTCTTGGATTAATAAAGTTATTTACTATATTTCGTTGAAGAAATCACTCATAAAATCTTAGACTTGTTCCTTCAATTGGCAGAAAAATCCACTCCTTTCTAACTGTTTAATAAGGATTTTGCCTATTTTTGCTTAGAACTTAAAGTCAGCTCAGTTGACAGACCACACCCTGTGTAGCCCTCCAAAACAAGTGACAGCAATCCTTTGGCATCTGAAGTGGAATTAAGGGTCCTTTGTCATCTCGCTGTCTTCCCTCTGATGATTTAGTTGGTTCCTAAGTATCATGTTCTTTTCCACCCTTCACTTTCGTTAATGGGCTCTTTCAGACAAATCACAGAAAAGCCCCTCACTAAGGTTTGCCCTTGTATCTATGGTACGTTTGGAACAGTTCATCCGTCCAGATTGATATTTGTCTCCAGCTGTATAAGTGAGTGTGATCGAAATAGGGTTACTGAGAGGACCAAGTTAATAGAACTTAGAAAGTGACTAGTTCCTTATAAGCAAACAATAAAATTCGGTTGTTACTTTTTTTTTTTTCAACATATTCCCTACATCTCTTAGAAAAGACTCTGTTTCTCTCTTTTTTTTTTTCTTAATATTTATTTATTTATTTTGGCTGCACCAGGTCTTAGTTGCAACATGCGGGATCTTTGTTGAGGCATGCAGGATCTTTAGTTGTGGTATGTGGACTCTTAGTTGTGGCATGCATGCGGGATCTACTTCCCCAATCAGGGATTGAACCCGGGCCCCCTGCATTGGAAGCTCGGAGTCTAACCCACTGGACCATCAGGGAAGTCCCCAGTTGCTACTTTTATATGACGATTACTATCCAGATTAAGATCAGTATCATTTGGCATCATCTAATTCCCTTCCTTTTAATTCTAGTGTTCTCAAAGCACTCTTCTTATTACCTGAGTGGATTCATCAACTAGACAGGTGCTCAGCAAGGCTGATCTCCACGATCCTGCCACAGAGGGTTAGTGTTCTAGCCATTGGGTTCTGGTTGCCAGTTGCTTGTGAGCTGATCGGTGTGACTTCTTCCCTCTTTCTTCAAAAATAATCACATATCGATTAAATGAAAGAAAAATCAGGTGCCTGGTCTTGCAAAGCTGAAGGCAGTCCATTAACCCAGGACTTGGTCTTCTTTGAGTTTCTGGCAGAAGCAGCCATTTTCCAGACTTTCTGTTATTCATATTGGCTTTTATCCTGCCCCAACAATGCTGTATTAAATTTTGCTAACTTAGAATATGTCATTGTGTCTGTGGAAAATCACTTCCCTTCTTTCACATTCGTGAATTTCACCTTACATTAGTTTCCTTTTCACCCACAAAATAACTGTGGAATTTTACTT